ATAAGCAGTAGAAGTTTCAATAATTTGGATAGCAGCCTTTTCTCTTTTTTCCACTATTGGTTCAGAATACTTCATAGAAAAATTGCTTGCTTCCCCACCTCCTTGTTTTTCTTCTATTTTATTTTGATCCTCCACCTCTTCATTTTGCTTCAGGACACTGAATCTTGAACCTTTAATTATCCTATCCTGACGATTTAACAGAGCTGATGAATCTTCCTTTCTAAGACCCTGATTTGTGTTATTCCTATTGCTTCTCCTCTGCTTATTAACAAGCATCCAGGGACCATATTTATCCTCTCCTTTATTTTCTGTATTTGTCAAGCCCTCCTCATTATGATTCACGCTTGCTTCACCTGATGTGTTCACCAATTGAGTAGAGTTTAATTGGCAATTCTCATAACGATGGCCATATTTACCATAATTATAACAAACCAAATGTAGCCCTTCATATTCAACCTTCTTCAGTCTTCCCTCAATTTTATAATCAGCTTGCAGAGATTTGCCCAAGTCTAACTCAATACAAATTTTTGCAAACTTTTCTCGAGCTAAACAAGTTGTGGCTGCATCCATTTTAACAAACTTTCCTAGCCAATTCCTTACTTCTTTGAACAAATTAGTATTAACATATTCCACCGGAAAATTTGGAAGACGAACCCAAGCCATAATATGACCAATTTCCGTAAAAAGGGGTTGGAAATCAGGTTCCCACAATTTGATTGCTGGGTAATGATCAAATAAAACCCAGGGACCAGCAGAAAGGGCATAATCCATATCTTTTTTCTCTGTGAACCTTACCAGGAAAAAGTCGTTCTCCACTTCCGTGACGAAAATTTTCCCTTCCCTTGCCCACATATTCTCAAATTTCTTCTTCATGACAGGAAGTGCCAGCTTTTTTCCCAATAATTTTACGTAAATTGCTTTTTTCCATGGCCTCCAAGCACGCTTTTTGAATGCATCTGACAATTTAAAATTGACCCTACCTTCCCCATCTGTCTCCCTGAAAACCTCTGTCTCTCCTTCCTTTGATTCAGCCATTGAATCATGGAGATGTTCATCCTCCTTTTCTGATTGCTCATCCTCTTCCGCTTCTTGCATCTCCCACTCACCATTGTGACGAATGAGCATTTCTTTAAAAGACATCTTTTCTGCCATCCACTATTCCTCTCGTGGTACCATTGTTTGATCATGACTGAAAGGCATATCTCCCCCTTTGTATTTCTTCGTACTCCTCTTCAGATTGTCTATTTCCTCCGGTGAGAGATCCGACGATGACTAAGCAGTACTAGGGTTTGACATCCCCATCTTTTCATTTGATTATCATGTGGGGTTTATTATTGGATATTTTTAACTTGCTCTATTTTAAATGTCCTTTCTTTATATGCTTACATGTCAAGAGGAACTCAAAACATCAACCGTCAAGAAATGAAGGTCGTTGGGCAACTTGCGAATAACTGGGTGTGGAAATTCCAAGTTTGGCATTATCAATTTGAAATATTTCTTCTTTTATCATCTTTATCAAAACCATGCCCATAAACCACGTTTTTAGACCTTAAAAACATGGTGGGACCACTTCTTAGTTTAAAAATAAAAATAAGACACTCACAAATAATTATAACAGGCATTCTATAGTTTCTTAATCTCACCCACTAAATTCAGAGTCTACTACTAAGCCATTATTCACGGCTTCTATAGTACATATCTCATTAATATTGATAAAACCATTTTTACGTGGACCCGACTTTGTAAGAATGCGGTAGAATGCATGAACTTAACTAGCATAATATTAGATCATTTGAACCTCAAATCGAGAGTATAAAAGAAATCCTAAATTCTAGAAGGCTTGCTTTTTAAATAATGTTATTATTTCATACAATATATCATTTGCGATTTGTAACATAAGTTATATTATTCTTTTATTAGCTCCATGTCATTAGTTTAAAAAGGAAGGCTCTATGATGTTAAAGTTCAATACTATTGTAGGAAAAATCTATGATTATATATATATATATATATATATATATATATATAGGATACATTTGTGGTATATATGGTGGTACTACATATAATGCAATTTTCAACAATTATTGGTAATGATCAATATCCCAAAGTAAGAAAGTGAAGTCAACATACCAAGAAATCTAGAGCATTTATCAGTAATTGCTCCATCATCAGCATCCCAAATTTGGAAAAGAAGCACCTTGTGCAGTACAAGTTGTATCTTAAATTACTCTATCTTTCCTTATTGTTTATAGAGTTTTTTACTCTAACAATTGATTGGCATCGTCCTTGCAAGTTTGCATGTTTCATGTTTTTCAGGAGGCAACACATCTGCCAGCATCATAATTCACTGATGAAGCAATCACAATCTGGCTAGAAGCACAATGTCCCTTGCCTCCAGAAATGGCCTCTTGGACACCTATTTAATTCATATTCGGAAGTGGGAAAGTAAAAGTTTCTTGCCGCCAATAAATGTCATCTTAGGCACCCGTTTAATTCCTACTCGGAAGCGGAAAAGTTAAAGTTCCTTGCCGCCATAAATAGCCTCTTGGGCACCCATTTAATTCCTACTTGGAAGCGGGAAAGTGAAAGTCCCTTACCACAGGGCACCCATTTAATTCCTATTCGGAAGCGGGAAAGTGAAAGTCTCTTGTCGTCATAAATGGCCTCTTGGGCACCTGTTTAATTTCTATTCAGAAGTGGGAAAGTTAAAGTCCCTTGCTGCCAAAAATGGCCTCTTGGGCACCCGTTTAATTCCTAGTTGGAAGCGAGAAAGTTAAAGCCCCTTTCCGCCACAAATGGTCTGTTGGGCACTCGCTTAATTCCTATTTGAAAGCGGGAGAGTTATAGCCCTTGCCGCCATAAATGAGCTCCTGGGCATTCGTTTAATTCCTACTCGGAAGCGGGAAAATGGAAGACCCTTGTTACCTGAAAATGGCACCAAGCTAATCCAACATATCAAGTCCAAACATGATGAGAAATCGAAGAAGTGAAAGTTAAAACCTAATATCATTCAAACTCGAAAGCAATTACAAACACGGAGACAAATACGCACAACAAGTAGCCCAACAAAGCAACCCGGAACCCGAAAGAATCCACAAGCCGGATGTTTTCGGCATTCATATCCCTTAGTACAATACTTTAAACAAAATTTGATAGGTACATGGGCTTTACTTTCACCCTGCGTTACGACTTCGCGCAATACCAGGCAAAGACGTAATAATGGACTTTTTAGAATTGTTGAGTTGATTCATTGACCCGTAAAGCATGGGAGAGACTAATTATACCCTAGAACAATCAATTAATTAATCCGTAAATGGAAAAACCTCGATATTATCGAATGTGATTTTATGACTATTCTAGATCGGGTCCTTGTAACTCGTGGATTCCATTGGATCTTATTTCCCTTACCAACTCCACAAGATTTGAAATCCAAAATATAAAATAGAATGGCTTATTGGTAATTGCAAGTTATAATTTCACCTATATAAGAATAATATTATTCTTATACATTATTTTCTAACTTTTATGGAAAAAATATTTAATTAATAATTACATATTTAAGTGATGAGAAGTTTTTTTTCCCACTAAATTAGATATCTCGAGTTTGAGTCCTATGAATGGAGAAAATGATCTCGACTCCTCTATATAAATCTGATAGAATTTGAATCGAATTAGTTAGGTGATTTATTAACCGGTGGAGAAATAAAAATAAAATAAAATTTGAATAAGTTGCAAGATTAACATATAGGGGTGTAAATGGGTTAGGCCGGCCTATAGGGGCCTACGGCCTAGCCTGTATTCGGCCAGACTTAGCCTATTATAAGTAGTAAAATAGAATAAGCTTAGGCTTTTAAAAGAAACCTATTTAGAAAACAGGCTATATGATTTTTTTTACATGTCCGGCCTATAAGCCTACATGTTGTCCTATATCATATTATTTATTTAAAATATAATAAATAAAATTATTATTTAATAATTTTGAATAATAAAATAATATTATTTTAGTTATTCTTTTAATTGTTAAATGTTTAATAAGCTTAAATGGGCTAACAGGCTTGGGCCAAGGCTTTTATGTTTTAAATATAGGTCAGACTAGACTTGTAATTTGGAGCCTACACAGGCTAATAGGCCAAGCCATACTCAATATTTTTTGGAAATGGATCCTCTCATGTGGAAAAAAAACATGATATGATCATGTGGGAAGATCACAATCATACAAAGGTAAATCAACGGTTATGATTTCGTAACTACCTATTTTAATATTTTTCTCTCTCCTCCTTTATTACCATTGATCTACCTTTGTATAGTTATGATTCCCCATATGACATGGTCATGTGAATTTTCACATGAGAGGATCCAGATCCATATTTTTTACAAGTTTGGCCTATTTTAAGTCAAAGTCTAGCCTAGCCTAGCCTATTTACACCCTTATTGACATATATAAAATGAATTATTTCTTGAATAGAGGATATTTTTCCCTCCCTTCTACAGTAAAAGTAGAAATGTTAAACCCTATTTTTATTTCTAATTATACTTCTTAAATTTTGTTTTTATTTTAATTGTTTTGTAGAGTTGTTGGAGACTGAAATATTAGTTGTTGAATTTTGAAATATTTAACTATCGTTATGTCTCTTAATCTCAAATTTCTATTTAGTAAAAAAAATTTAATGTGTTTGGCATCACCAATTATACAGACTTTGGATATATAAAAAGTGGATAGAACAAAAGGGATGTAATTTTCATTGTCATTATCTTCTCAAGTAAATGCTATTATATTAGGATAATTGTCATTATTAATAAAATAGTCAAGCACATCTGCATCACATGTGCATCACCTCGTATATATGTGAACTTAATATATTATACATGTGATGAACTCAATTACTTAAATGTTTACTGTCTTGACATTATTGCTTCTATATTTTGGGTATATTTTTTTCCCTCCCTTCTCCTTCACCCAAGTCCATAGAAACAAAACTCATTGATTTTTTTAAAAAAGAATGATGGAGGGGAGCATCCCGGTGGTGGATTTTCAGCAACTTTGCGAGGAAGAAGAGTGCAACAAACTAAGAGAAGCATGTGAGAAATTTGGGTGTTTTAGAATCATCAACCATTCTATTCCAATAACACTAATGGCGGATATGAAGTTGGTGGCTAAATATGTGCATGACCTTCCTATGGAGATCAAAAGGTGCTACAAATCCACCAACACTGACAGTGGCTACCTGGCATCATCAATTGTAACCAGTCCTCTATATGAGAGCTTTGGAATATATGATATGTGTTCTTCACCCCAAGAAGTTCAGGATTTCTTTACTCAGTTGGATGTCCCAAGCCATCACAGGTTTTTTTTTTTTTTTTTACTTGATCTCTTTGTAAATCCTTTTTTTTTAAATTGTTTCTTGGTTTACTTTTGTTAACAAGTATTCAAGTGTCCCGTGGAAAAAGTAGATCAAAAGTTGAACGGTGTTATTTTAATTTTCAAAAGTAAACCACTAAAAGAAGTCTAGTACTAAGAGGTTTGGGTAGTTTACATGAAGTATTGTATAAAAAAATAAATAAATTCAAAAGTAAGGTCCCTCTCCTTCTAAATTGTTTTATCACCACGGAAGTGAAATTGATTGTCAAGCCTTAACATAATTAGAACAAGTTCTTATAATACCTATGTTCTTATTTGTATTATTATCTTAATAAAATTATGAAACAAGTATATGTTGGGTTTATGCTCTTTTACCAAAGTCCAATTTGACTCGGTGTATTAGAAGAGCCCAAAGAAGCTTAATGCTAGAGTTTCTTGATACTTATATAAATAGTTACACTTATGTGAGATCTTAAATCTGAAATCCTGGAGTGCCCCCACATTACTCCCCTTTCCCCTTGAGAATAGTTCGAAAGATACTACCACCCTCTAGAGGTTGTTTGTGCTGCGACATGGAGCAGACCAATTTGTGAAGGAAGAGATTACATGGTAGCAAAGGCGAGAATGCCACACCTACACATAGGGGATTTCTCGTAGGTCTGAGCTACAAGAGGTAAAATTTAGATCTAATTGGGCCAACAATATAGTTAGAATTCAAGTGTGAAGAACGATGTTACGATCCAATGCCGAGTCCGTGATCAGTGCATAGGCTATACTCAGTCTTACAATTGGTTAGTTTGACAAGCCTAATTTTCTACCAAAATAACAACTAAATTTATCAAAATTTACAATTAACCGGCATGTAGAAATAATAGAGCAAGTCTAGAATATAAATCTATGTGTCTTCTAGAAAAAAAAAAATATATATACACTTTGCCCACATGGAACATGTGTCTGGCTCATCACAATAATCAAACAGACTCCCATAATCAAATCAGAGGAATGAAATTAGAAGTTAACTTTGTACTTATACTTGTAAAAATACAATTAAGATTGGGATAGGTTACAATGCAATTAGTGAGTAAATAATAGGATTTATTAAAAGTAAGACATTGCAACATGTAAAATTAATACTTACTCAAACAATAAATATGAGAAAATCCTTATATCTAAAATCAATTTATATGTGTAATAAAATTTAATATTATACCCAAATATTATGTTGATAAATCTAACAGCAAGGTTAAAAGCAAGCATTCCATCGAAATCAATTCATAAAATCTAGAAATCAAGATTTTAGTAAAATAATATATTTATTGAAATTGAGATATACTCAAGCAAAACTGCAACGTATCAATCCTCACATGAAAATAAAATCATAATAATTCTTGGTTACTTGCGTGTAAATAAATCATGATGCATCAAGGCTAACATCTACTATCGTTAGCGTACAACATTATGTAGAAGTCATTCTCAAAAATCAATTTCAAAATCATAAAACATAATATATACATATCTTAAAGTCAATCATAAGCATATCACAATTTTATAAAACAATTCAGAAATATTGCACATTCTCAAATAGTCAACCATAAAATTATAGAAAAATTCTCAAATCCATTATATCCTTTCATAACCTTTCTCAATATCATTAAATCCACGTCAAATATTATAAAAGTAGTTTAATCAAATACATACATAATTTACCCTAAAAATCCATAATGTTCTCCCATATCATTTCTCAATACTATCAAGTCAAGTGAAACATTATATAAAAGAAATTAAATAAAATGACAACATATATAATTCTAAAAATCCATATTTTCTAAACATATCCATATCCTACGACAACACCATTGTACTAACTTCATGTCCAATTTAAGCTACTCTAATCAGAATTCAATTTTGACTTCGTCATAGAATTTTTGGGCCAGTGATTTTATGACAGTACCCCTGCATTACTTTCACATTCAATATAAGGCTCTTTAGGGCTAGAATCAGGTCTCGACATCTCTTGAAAGTTGTAGAAAGTCTTCTCAACTTTTCATCGAGCCAAAGAATGTCCAAATCCATGGTGGGAAGCTCAAGTTATAGTCAAAAATATCGAGACTATACCGATTTCCGAGATAGCACAACTTTGAGCTCAGTTTAAGGTCTTTTAGCTAAAGTTGTATGTCTCAAACCCCAAATGCTTCCAAATGCTTAGCCCATTGATGGATGTTTTCCATTGGGCCGAATACTTGGAGATTGTAATTGGTATTCGAGTTTGTGCATGAGTATGTGTCAAACCCAAGCTATGGAGCCAAGACTTCACCACTCTTGGTTGATAACCCCATTCACATTAGAAAAAGCTACCACTTGATGGGGAGCATATGTTGAGTATCATATTTGAGGGAGAAATTGTTTGGAACTTAAGTGAGAGCGGATGAAACGCCATATTGGTTAGGAAGGAATTGAATGATGAGAATTTGAGCTAAGAAGTGGTATCAAGTTCCAATGTTGTGGTTTGGATTTTCTGTTTTGAGCCCATGTTGACCAAACGCTTCTTTTTTATCCAGGAGTAAAAAATGATTCTCAGCGGTGGTAATTAAGGGAAATTAATTAAATTTTCTGCACATGAAATTCTAAAGACTACACTCTACATCAAAAGCAAATCATTTGTCATATCAAAAGCATAAACACCACAAAATCACACTTATAATTTTGCTATTGTTGTTTAGTTATTCTTTGAATTGCAATCAAAACCACAATTGCAGCTAAATCGACCACATTTAATTTATTTACAATTACCTGTAAGATAGGATGATTAGTCGGATATATTTGCTTTGCAGGCACATAACAGAGGCATATGGCAAAGCAATTCATGGCTTGACATCAATTATATCCCAAAAGATGGCTGAGTCTGTAAGCATAGTAGGAGCTGATTTTGAGGACTGGCCATTCATTTTTAGAATTATCAAATATAACTTCACCCAAGAAACTTTAGGTTCCTTAGGTGCACTACTACACTCAGATATAGGATTCATAACTCTACTTCAAGATGATGAAAATGTTGGAGGTCTAGAATTGATGGATGACTCTGACTCATTTATGGCAATCCCTCCCAAACCAGGGTCTTTCCTTTGCATTATTGGAGATGTTGCACATGTAAGCATATAGAGCGCTTGAGCTTAAATTTTCTTTGCATCAAATTAAATCTTATTTTGGTATTTGTAAAATTAATTTATGCATGTTCTTGAAATTTGTTTTTACATAGGTATGGAGCAATGGAAGATTTCGCAACGTGAAGCATCGTGTACTATGTAAGGAAACAACTACTCGTTATTCATTTGGTGCATTTATGTTAGCATCAAGGGATGGTAATGTTGAGGCCCCAATAGAGCTTGTGGAACCACTTGAAAAAGGGTATTCTAATATATTATAGAATTGTAAATAATCTGTACAAAGGGTTCTCTATTTATAGAGAATATTTGACCTACTTTTAACCTAATGGGCTTGGCCCAATACAACAAAGGGCTTGGCCCAATACAACAATAAATGACTAAATAAAAACTAAATAATAACTAAATCAATATTATTTACAACACTCCCCCTCAAGCTGAGGAATAAATATTTATCATTCCCAGCTTGCTAGTAAGTTCTTGAAATCTGTCTGAAGGAAGCCCCTTTGTTAATAGATCAGCCAATTGACGCCCAGTGGGAATGTATGGAGTGGTAATCAACCCGCTATCAAGTTTCTCTTTGATGAAATGGCGGTCAACCTCAATATGTTTAGTCCGATCATGTTGAACTGGATTATGAGCTATACAAATAGCGGACTTATTATCACATAACAGCTTCATAGGTCCCTCACATTTTATTTTGAGATCATCAAGAACAATTTTCAGCCACAGTAACTCACAAATGCCTTGAGCCATAGCTCGAAATTCAGCTTCTGCACTTGATCTGGCAACCACATCTTGTTTCTTACTTCTCCATGTCACCAAGTTACCGCAAAGAAACATGCAATAACCAGTGGTAGAACGACGGTCAGTCACGGATCCAGCATAATCAGCATCTGTGTAGACTTCTAAAGGTAGATTGCCATCACGTCGGAATAACAATCCTTTACCAGGAGTACCTTTAAGATACTGAAGAATTCTCTCTACTGCCTGCATGTGTTTTTCTTTTGGATCGTGCATAAACTGACTGACAACACTAACAGCATAAGCTAGGTCTGGTCTAGTATGAGCCAGATATATCAATTTCCCAACTAGCCGTTGATATTGTCCTTTATCAACTGGAGGACTCTCTTCTTCATAGCCCATCTTGTGATTCTGCTCAATAGGAGTATTAGAGGGTTTACACCCGAGCTTTCCTGCTTCTTTGAGAAGATCAAGAACATATTTCCTCTGGCTGATAAAAATTCCTTTGCTTGAATGAGCTACTTCTATCCCTAGGAAATATCTCAGTTTCCCAAGGTCTTTGATTTCAAACTCAGAGGCAAGCCATGTTTGCAGAATCTGTCTCTCCACAAAATCATCACCTGTGATAATAATATCATCAACATATACAAGGAGCACAGTAAGCTTCCCATTTTGGGAGTGCTTGAAGAAAAGAGTGTGATCCCCTTGGCTAATCGAGCCTTATATCTCTCAAGAGTGCCATCAGAATTATATTTCAGGGTATAAACCCATCTGCACCCTACTGCTTTCTTTCTGTTGGGTCTATCAATAACCTCCCATGTTTTATTTTTCTCCAAAGCATTCATCTCCTCTTGCATGGCTTGAGCCCAATTCCTATCTTTCAAGGCTTCATGTACTGATTTTGGGATTGCAATAGAATCTAGTGCTGAAACAAAGCTTTTGTGCTGCACAGAAAGATTAGCAGAGGAAACAAAGTGGGAGATAGGGTATTGAGTACAAGAGGGACAGGAGGAACAAGTTTTCTTGTGACAAGATCTTTTTCCTTTTCTAAGAGCAATAGGTAAGTCATCAGAAGTAGAAGCAATGGGTAAGTCATTAGAGATATCAGAAGAAATAGACAAATCATGAGAGGAAATAATATTAGAATCAGAAACAGGAGATTCAGAAGAAATAGGAGATTCAGGACTTACCAGTGGTTCAGACGATTGAGGTTGCTGGTGAGACAGTATGGGTTGTATCTCAGGTGTATTTGAAGGTTCTGACACACCAGGTGCAAACACACTAGGAAGAGAGAAGATTGATCCAGACTCAAAGAAGGAAGGGGACGAGTCTTCTGAAGAACTATTCTCCCCCTGACGATGAGGACCCAGGAAATAAGATTCAGATTCTTGAAAGGTGACATCCATATAAACAAAAAATTTCCGACTTGGTGGATGATAACACTTGTACCCTTTTTTATAAGGGTTATAACCAAGGAAGACACACTTAAGAGCCCTAGAATCCAACTTACTCCGATGTTGTTTATGAACATGGACAAAGGCAACACATCCAAACACTCTTGGTGGAAGGCTCTGCAATATGGGAACAGAAGGAAAGAAGGAAGTCATTGAATGAATAGGACTGATATTGTTAAGGACCCGTGAAGGTAAACGGTTGATCAAAAAAGTTGCAGCTAATACTGCTTCTCCCCAATAAGAACTAGGAACAGATGTCTGAAAAAGTAGTGCTCTAGCAACTTCAAGAAGGTGACGATTTTTCCTTTCAGCAACCCCGTTTTGTTGAGGGGTATCAACACATGTGAGCTCATGAATCATACCTCTGTCTGAAATGAATTGTGACAGGCGTTGATTGACGTACTCAGTACCATTATTAGATCTGAGTCTTTTAATACCTTTACCAAACTGAGTCTCAACCATGTGATGAAACCGAATAAATATCTCTGGTACTTCAGACTTGTCTTTCATCAAGTATATCCATGTTATCCGAGTACAATCGTCAATAAAAGAAACAAACCACCTAGCACCTGAAACACTGTGCACTTTAGAAGGGCCCCAAACATCAGAATGGATAAGAGAAAAAGGTTCTCTGCTTTTAATAGTGCTAGAAGGAAATGACACTCGATGGTGTTTTGCAAATTCACAAACATCACAATGAAAGGTCTCAACCGACTTATTGAGAAACAGAGAGGGGAACATAGACTTCAAAAGACTAAATGGTGGATGCCCGAGACGCTTGTGATGGAGCCAAATCATAGACTCTGCAGTAGAAGGATGACGTGTCATTAATAAATGATTTTTGCTAGCATGGTCTGGAAGGAGATGATACAACCCATCCTGTTCATTAGCAACTCCAATTATCTTCTTCGTGGTAAGATCCTGAATAAGACAATGAGAAGGAAAAAATGTGATAGAACAATTCAAATCAGTTGTAAGTTTTTGAGTTGAGATAAGATTAGTAGAAAGCTGAGGAACATAAAGAACATTTTTAAGAAACAAGGAAGGTTGAATTTGAATGTTACCAGAACCAATAACTGATTTATGGGATCCATCAGCTACGGATATAGTATGACTACCAACAGTAGGATGATAAGAACAAAATAACTCAGTACGACAAGCCATATGATCAGTTGCACAAGAATCCAAAATCCATGAGGTTTTAAAATCAGTGCAAGAAGCAAGAAGAGATATAGAACGTGTGCTCTTACCAGATAAGATCGAAGAACTATCATGCTCAGCCATTCTTTAACAAAAAAAAGTTAACAACCAGCGATAAAATCAACCAAACAGAATATCAAATGACCTCTGATCAGAAAAATAATTATAGATCCAGACAGAAGACAAGAAGACGAGAAGAATGGTGGTGGTCCGGTCCAAAAACACGGCCGCACGCGCCTCCACGCGCCGGAGAAAGGAGCTGCGCGTGGGATTCACTCGCCGGGAAAGGGGCGGCGCGTGAGAGCGCGTGGATGGGCTTCGCCGGCTGAGATTTTTATGGTGTGGTCGTCCGGTGAGCGCACACCTGTCTGTGGGTGGTCGCGGTTGAAAAGTCGCCGGAAAGTGGTCCAAACGGTGAAGACAGATCTGATTGGAGGCGATCAGAGGTGTTTCGGTCGTTTGTGGCGGAGGAACACTGCGTAGAATGATAGATCGGAGAAAAAATAAGGTCAACAATGGTCCCCGGAAAAATTTTCCGGTGGCGGCTAATGGCGGCAAGAGGCAAAGAAATTAGGGTTTTGTTAAAAAAGAAGATAATATGTGCGGAAGCAAAGCCCTCAGATCGAGAGCTCTGATACCAACTTGAAAAAGGATATTCTAATATATTATAGAATTGTAAATAATCTGTACAAAGGGTTCTCTATTTATAGAGAATATTTGACCTACTTTTAACCTAATGGGCTTGGCCCAATACAACAAAGGGCTTGGCCCAATACAACAATAAATGACTAAATAAAAACTAAATAATAACTAAATCAATATTATTTACAACAGAACCTAATCATGCACGTCTGTATCGCCCATTTAAATATGAAGAGTTGAGGGAATTCAGAATCACCACAGGGAAGAAAACTGGTGAGGTCCTTGAGCATTTCCGCATTAATTAGTGCAATGGATGGAAAAAGATATCATCAACAGAGCTATTAAAAAGTAAGCTACTCTTCAATAAATTTCCATTCGTAGTCTCATGCTTGTATGGTTTATTGTTTCCCAAATTCGAACCTCCAACCTTTCTATTTTATGAAAATTTATGATTTCAACCAGTGTTTTAAAAGTTGGTCCGGTCATCGATTCAGCCAAGGAACTGGGCCACTAGGTCATTGGTTCAACCGGTGGATTACCGGTTCAATTGATTTAATTAAATTTATATTAAATTATTTAATAAATATATTTCAAGGTGCATTTTGACCAACAATTGAGGATAGCCTGGTGGTAAGTGGTAACACTACTCACTCTCATATTTTATTAGAAATTAATAAGTAAGTAATAAATATGGCCCAATAAATTATAATCTCTCTTAATATATTATAACGTGCATTGTCAAAAGTGGAATATTTTGTCTAATTTAAAAAAACCGGTTTAAGGGAGAAAACAACTTAATCCGCCGGGTTCCATTTAACCCGCGAGTCATCGAAACTAGGCCGAGTCAACAGGTTGAAACTGGTTTAACTGCATGACCGATCCAATGGCCAGCTCAAACCAGTGCCCTAACCGGATTACCGAAACCCAGGTCGACCCAGCCGGTCCGATCCAAGTTTTAAAACACTGATTTCAACTAATGTCTTTGTTTGCCAATTAGTGAACCTTGTATTTCTGCATGAAGTTTGTGATGAATTTATAATATTGAGTTGAAGTTTTACAGGAGCAAGCTCATGAACTCTTGGAAGAAAAGAGAATAAGTTTTTTAAGAGAATTGTATGGTTTATTACTTCCGTGAATATCCAATCATGCTAGGTCCTATTTTCAGTAATCAAGCACTCCGCGAAGTAATTAAGCTAACTGATTTAACATTTTAACTGATACAATTATTTCTACAATTAGGGTGTGCTAGATTTGATTCGATGTTCTATACTGAATTGAACTGAATGGAAAGAGTGGTTCGATTCGGGTAAACCAAATCGGTTTTAAAAGGTGATTTGGTTCTTAAATTGGTTTGGAAAATATGGTGTGATTCGGTTTGGTTCATTTGATCTTTTATACTTCTATGAGTGGGTGTGATTTGGTTCGTTTAGTTTTTAGAATTAAATCAATTCGGTAAAGTGGTTCGCTTCTCTAATTAATCCGATTTTAAAAAATGGTTCAACTCTTCAACTGGTTCGAAGAAAATGTGATTCTTTTGATGCTGTTTGAATCAATTCACAATTCGGTTCGATACATTTGATTTTTTAGAAACCCTTATCTATAATTATTTGCTCTAGCTATTTTTCCATATTCTTAATGTTGGAAATAATCAAGTGTGGTTGAGATATGATGTCGGCCCACTTATTGTGATTTATCATTTAGCCCATTGGTGGATGTGTCCCTTGCAAAAGGGTTTCGGGCTCCCCCTGTACCATTCTTAACAGTAGTATCAGAGCCAACGATTTAGTTGGGCTAAGTATTTGGAAGGCCTCTGCAGAAGACTAGTGTGACCTTAATATTTGAAGAAAAAAAAGACTTCCGCAGAAGTTACCCTTAGAGTAAGAATGATATTGGGCCTCACACTTGAGGAATATTGGGCCTCACACTTGAGGGAGGATGTTGGAAATAATCAAGTGTGATTGAGTAGTGGGGAAGTAAGTTCCACATAGGCTAGACATTCACCAAGTGATGACCATATAAGTGCAAAAGACTCATAAATCTAAAGCCTTAAGGTTTTGGGTTGAGATGTGGTGTCAGCCCACTTATTGTGGTTTATCATTTGGCTCATTGGTGGATGTATCCCTTGCAAAAGGTTTCGGGCTCCCCCGTACCATTCTTAACACTTAAAAGTAAAAATTGTTGAAAATCGACAATCACACAAATCGCAAACGAAAAGAGAGAATAGACACAGTAATTTACCCTGGTTCACCCAATTTAGGCTATGTCCAGCCCCAGTTGCCTTTCTGCTGACCCCAACAACAAAAGTCATCATCAGCATGCGAAGTATGACTGCTGAAGAAAATAATGGAATAACTCTAATAATAAAAGATTTTAAAATCTTCTACCAAAACAACAGTTTTTAAAACCTCCAAACAAGGTCTATAATAAACAAAGCAGATTTGTAATGATGGGGTTAATATCCTTAAGGGGGTGTTTGGGGATAAATCTTTGGTACTACTGTGGTACCTAAGTGGATACAATAATTTTCTAATTTTGGAAAAAAGTGCAATGTGGCGGGAAAAATAAATTTGAAAAGTGTTTAAATTTTTTCCAAAAGTAGAAAACTGTTGTACCTACTTGGGTACAACAGTGGTATCAAAGATTTATCCGATGTTTGGTAGGAGCCTTTGCTTTCTTTCCCCATGCAACTTGAAGTGGGTTTTCTATTTCACTGTGTTTGGTAGGAGATTTAATAAAATTTAGATAGGAGAATGCTTTACCCATCCATCTCATTTTGTTTGCAAAATTTCTTTGAAAACACTGTTTTAGAAACCCATATTGATGGTAGTATTTTGGGTTTGATGGGGAAAAAAATTTGAGCATGAAATTGTTGACTAAATTGTTACTGTGTGTACTGTTGAAAGTGTTTTTTCAACCCAATTTTTCTGATAATATTTTTACCTACCAAACAACTTTTTTTACATTTTTCTACCAAAATCACTTTCACACCATATGCCTAGTAATTATATTTTCCTGGTAAAAGAAAATTTTATCCTCTACCAAACGCCCCGTAACTATCATTCCCCAAGCATAAAATCCCTTAATAAGTGATTAATTTATAATTGACATTTGGCTCCTTCAATAATAAATTTATCTTGGATGGTTCGTAACTTGGATTTTGACCCATTATTCCCCATATCTAAAAGACTAAAATACTATCACAAAACACATGGATCAATTGGTATAAAGTTGTTCAAGCATAATGAGTGGTCCCGAGTAGAACGCAGTTTGTGTTAAAAATTTGATAGGGATAGCTTTGTACTTGTATCATTTAAAAGTACAATCATTTTTCCTTTTTTTTTTTAAATGTTCAAAAAACCCTTTATGATATTGCTTTGAATCACTTACATCCCTATTTTTTTTTTAATCACTTAACCCTGTGATCTTTTTATCCACACCCTTACTTAACACTATTAGGAACTTAACTAAGTATATTTATTTTACCCTTTTTAGAAGAAGAAAATAAAGTGATAAAAAAAGAAAAATAAGACCAAAAATAAGGAAATCTTAGAAGATTTAATAAAAGACTTTTGCCTTCTTCTAGTACCAAAAATAAGGGTTTTATTTTTCTGTTGGGCTTTTGCCTTCTTCTAGTACCAAAAAAAAAAAATATTGATAAACATTTTCCCAATGTGGTTTTGTTCAAGTTTGTGATTTTAACTTGATCTAGATCTCTCCAGTGCCCAAGATTAAGGCCAGGCCCAAAAGCCTTACTTAACCTGAAGGGAAACACGTTCAACTGAAGCATCTCGTGAATATCTACTCACAGCCAATAGGCCTCTGCAAGATCCACTAAACACGGGACAATACCTACTCGCCACAAAGACACGTGAAGACATAACCCCCTGCCATCATTACCTGCTATAGCCTGACGAGCAGAAACTAGCCCAACTAAAATCTAGATAAACAATGGGTTATATTTATTTATATAAAAAGAAAATAATTATTTTATATTATAAAAATAAAATTAAATGAGACTCACACATAAAAAGAGAGAAAAAAAATAAATATGGAATGTACCTCCACTTTACGTGTGTAAAAAATTTATTTATTTATGAATATAAAATAAGGGTTTGTTTTTTCTAAAATTACTTTAGATAACTTTATCAAATGTTCATCGAAACGACGTCGTTTTGGGACAGAAATCATGGTCTTTTTGTAATTTTAATTTATTTCAGGATTATAATAGTCTTTATCATTCTAATTTTTTAATTTTTCAACCTCAAAATGACGTCGTTTCAATGAACATTAGACAAAATCGTCTAAAATAACATCGGAAACTTTTTTCCCATAAAATAAATATAACCCATAAACAATCGTCTTCCCTAGGCGGCATAACGAAGGAACCTCAATGCTATAACCATGAGGAAACAACCATAAATGATCATGTGTTATAAATATGGATTTTATAATTCTCATTTAACGTAAGAATTAAAAATTTTCTACACACTCTTCGATTTCCATGCTGACATAGGTTGTATATGTAATTTTTTCTAACTTATGGGTCTCACATACTTTTTATCTCTACAACATAAGATTTCAATTCTCCTTACATGAGAATTATAAAACCCTATAAATATCACTAATAAAAGAGACTCCATTCCTCTGATTCTCAACTCTTTAGTCTATTGAAATATTCTCTCAATCTCGCCTGACCTTCATCTCGTCAAACTCATACATCCTTACATAATTACATTAGACAACCATTCATCACATATTCACCGGGCTCTAGCGTGTGTTATCCACCCCAATATTTTATGGGTTATGTTTATCTCATTTTACATGAGATAAACATCTCTCCTACACACACAAAAAGGAGTTGGGTCCCACCACTTTTTTTTTCTCTCTCCTCTTACATGTGGGTCCCACTTATACCTTTATTTCTACAACATGAGGTAATTCTTTTCCTATAACATAAGAAAAATATATCCCATATTTTATAATGGACTTGATCACAACTATTTTATAATTCTATTTTGGAAAATTTGTACAAAGCCTATTTTTTAGTTTTTTTTTGAAAAAAGATCAAAAAACCCCTATAGTATTATTTTGTATCACTTACACCCCTATGATTTTTTTTACTTAACTCTGTGATTTTTTCCATCCATACCCTACTTAACACTATTAGGAACTTAATTAAGTTACCTATTTTGTCCTTCATAGAAGAAAAAAATAAAGAGATAAAAAAAATAAATAAGACCAAATGTTAAGAAATCTTAAAACACTTAATAAGAAAAAAATCAAATGTGTCTAAATATAAAAATAA